GTTTGTCGCCCATTGTCTACAACAGTAACCTTGTTTTTGCTAAAATAACCGGTGCAGTACTTAATTGAAATGTCTGCCATCGCTTTATTCCGGGATCTGGGTTCTGTTTCTAATGGGTCAGACATAGAGATATTTTTGCCAAAGAACAGTACAGTTTCTGTTTTTTCGTCAAAATATGACAACTGAATAGAGAAAAACTTGTAGCCATTGTGTCGTAATGAGAATTGCGTTGAATGAAAATGAGTAAGACACTCTTTGAACGTTTTAAAAGTGAAAAAGTGGCGATAAAACACCACCTTGAGAGCTAAGTATGGATCAATTTATTAACGGGATAGGCCAAGTTTCGTCTTTGTATCGGAATTTTGGTGAGAAAAAAAAAAACATTTGTTACTTTTTCTTTAGTCACAAATCGCTCTGAACCACACATTTAGTCGCTTTTGTAAATATAAACTTGCTGGAGTTTGGACATAACGGAAATCGCCACAATTTACATAAATAGGCTCCAGACAATAAGAGACAAAAGTAGTTGAGACACTTTTAGGAAATGACGCTTTTCTATAATTAAGCACTTGTTCTATTTCGTTTGCATCTAGCGTTAATTCTCTGATACACCCGGCCCTGCAATTCAATGTTGTGTAGGCGTTGTAGTCTGTGCAGTCTAAGAAATAGAAAAATCAACATTGTTTGGGGGGAAGGGGGGAAATGTGGCCAAGACGTTCGAAAATCGAATTTTACTGCCAAGTGTCTCAACACTTTTGTCGCCCATTGTAGCTATAATGAATTGCCATGACAAAATCCATTATTAATCACCATTTTTAAAGTCGGGAGCGGTTTGTGTTGCATTATCAAGGAAATCTCCCGATTTCTCTATAACTGAAAAGACTAACCGAGCTCTATTTATACTAGAGATGGATCATTCGCCTGGGACAAGCTTGGGAAAAGAACGTTTGTTAGTCTGATAATTTGCCTGTGTATAAATACGGGCAAACAGACGAATCATGCGTCCAGACGAATTCAAACTAAAACTAGGTCGTGGGGTCGATGATCCGTTTGTGTATCCGTATTTATACACAGGCGAATTATCAGACAAACTACCGTTCTTCGCCCAAGTTCTATCTCTAGTAAAAATCGAAACATCCCTACAACTGGTTTAAATTTTATTCTGTATTGTTTCTTACAGGTGTATATTATGTACCTGTTAAGAGTAAACTACATCATTTGAAGATGATTCGTCAGCAACTGATAATCGTGATAGCATGACAGTATCACATTTTGTTACCTTCATACTTAGTCGTCACTTCCTTTTCTGCAGTAGGTCCCTCAAACACATAATTCCTCGCAAACACCTTCACAGTGTACTTGGTATCTCTCTCCAAATCTCCAACAGACAGACTGGTTATTCCAGGGTCAGTGATATTAACATTCTTTATCTCAGTGCTACCCTTTAGTATGACCACTCGGTATGCTGTGATAGAACTCCCTCCATCATCAGCTGGTGCAGTCCAGTTTACTGTTAGTGAGGTGGCTTGAATGTCTAACTGTACGATGGCTGGGGGGCCTGGCTTCTCTAAGAAAAAGAAAAAAAATTCGGATAACACAATAGTTATTAAAACACGCAGTTTAACATTTCAAGATAGTTTCGTTCCTCGAGGTTATTCTGTGCATGAATCCCTTTTTACAACAACATCAACTTACAAAACATTAAGGCCAGAACTAGTCTGCATACTTGACAACGCACTTATAATATTTCCGTTAATACGCCAAGTACACTTTATTTTCAAACGACGTCACGAAAAATCACTACTACTCAATTGAATTTTATTTCCCTCTCCAGCTTCTCAGCGGTCCGGAACTCTAACTCCTTGAATCTGATTGGTCAATCACGCACGCTCTAGCGGTTCTGATTTTCCCATCCGGAATGCGAGTACGGATCGCTCCGAAATTTTCAACTCTGGCAACTTTTCAAGTTTTTTGTTACGCCGTAAAACAACGTAAAATGTAAACATTCAACACAGAGTCAAACAATTATGGATTCCGAGCAAAGACTATCGCTTTTTGTGATCGAATTGTCAAACGCAAGCGTACGCCAAATTTGAACTAATCGGCTGGAGGAAAAAATAAAACAATTCAAAATTAATACACGATAGCGATTGTTAGAACTGAGCAGCGTTTCAACGAGAAGTATTGAGGGTAAACAGCGCTATTTGGGCGATATTATATTCTACATCGGTGGACATGTCTCCTCAAAGACTGACTAAATTAATTTGCGCTTTCATTAGATGATACGGCGTCTACAGCAATATTTGAGCACTTTCCTGGTTTCTTTTGTCACAAATTTACAATTTGAAGAATATTAATTTTAAGTCACTAACTTGGGAACTTTTTGGTCTCTCTTACAGACGCAATTAAGGCAAGAAATAAAAAAGCTGCTGAAGAGAAGCAATACGTTTGTCTTCTTTATTTTGAACCCTGACAAAAACACTACCGTAGTTTGAAAATTTTGAACCGACCTTTGGGTAATTCTAAAAGATACGCACCCACAGTAACGTTTCAAGTTTGCTCTAAAAAGGGAGAAGTGGCGCAACTTGAAAAATAACTGCCGTCCCCAGTCGCGGTCCTCGCGTGGAAACATAGTGTGTGACACTAACGATGCTAGAGCGCATGCGTCTTACATGTTGGGTTCATGCGTCTTACATGTTGGGTTCTACCACAAGGAAACCACTCAACATTTGTGTGTGATCCCGTATGCAATAGAAGACACGAATGATAACTAATCTGCACATGCGTATAGAGCAAATTGGTTTTGTTCTAAAGAGAATAGTACCACAAGGAGAGCAAGGAGTTTTCTGAAACAAATATATAGCTTTGCAATGTTCATACTCAGCCGGCGCAGGTGGAACATGTTTTACGTCGAGTACACAAGTACCTTTCCCACCCCACCCCCCACTACTTCCTTGCCTCTAGACTAATTAATTAATTGAAATTAATTAATTAAACAAACATTAAAGTTTACACCTTAGCGCCTTAGTCTCTTAGTTCAATAGTGCCTTAGCGGATGGCAGCCCCCAAAGCCATCCCAATAGTGCACTCTGCACTGATAAACATGTTATTTGGCGGTTAAGTTTGGAGCTTCAGAGTTCGCGTGTTATTGAAAGATGTAGTAAAAGAAACTTAAAGTCAGCATAAAATATACCACTTTGAAATTACGACAAAAAGAACCTACTTATTTGTTCTATTTTCACTATCTTGAAA